GACTCTAGTGTGGTAAGGTTATGTGGTTTATGAGTCTTTTTTTTTTAAAAAATTAGTTGTCTTATGTCTCTAGGATATGTGACTTTTTGACCTAGGTGGTAAGGTTATGTGGTTTAATGATTCTAGAGATGTAAGGAAATGTGACCTTTTGACATAGGGTGGTAAGCGTATGTTGTCTATTGACTGTTGATCCTATTTTTTAAAGATCACATACCTTTATCATGTTATGTGATCTCACTACCCTAGGGTTGTAAGGGTTTGTGATCTCACTACCCTAGGGTTGTAAAGGCTTGTGATCTCATGACCCTAGGGTGGTAAGGGTTTGTGATCTCATACCCTAGGTTGGTAAGGGCTTGTGATCTCATGACCCTAGGGTGGAAAAGGGCATGAGATCTTATGACCCTAGGGTTGTAAGGGTATGAGATCTTATGACCTTAGGGCAGTAATGTTATGTGATCTCACTACCCTAGGGTTGTAAAGGCTTGTGATCTCATGACCCTAGGGTGGTAAGGGTTTGTGATCACATACCCTAGATTGGTAAGGGCTTGTGATCTCATGACCCTAGGGTGGAAAAGGGCATGAGATCTTATGACCCTAGGGTTGTAATACTATGATCTGTACTATGAGTGCTGTAAGGGGGGTAACGTAAGTGCTCTAATGTGAAGGGTAGAGCATGCTTAACCTCACTGTTATGGTCGACGTTTTGTATAGCGACAGGCCTTGTCTTAAGCATGATATCACCAACTACAATCAAACCTTTCTTGTCGCATTTTGGCATAAACATTATTTTAGTAACGCTGGGTCAAACATTAAAAAAATGTAACATTAGGTCAAAGGTTAAACTTTTTGTAACATTAGGTCAAAGGTTAAGCTTTTCGTAACATTAGGTCAAAGGTTAAGCTTTTCGTAACGATAAAATTGAAAACCCGTGTAACGTTACAAAAAGGGTTAAACTTATCAAGTTGAGTCAAAGTATTGTTGTTGATGATGATTGTAAAAAAATATGATTAATTACCAGAAATTATCCACCGGATACTTCCCAGTATTATGTATTTACTCCTTAAACCACTCGGATTTTCGGATTTCCTCCAATGTTATCCTCTGTTCGACTTCAGGATTAAGCATCTGTAAAATTAGCTGCTTTAACTCACTGTTCATGTCCGCTGAAAGTGGGATCAATTGCTTCAATTGCGATCGAACCATTCTTGTCACATTTGAATCGTCGAATGGTAATCGACCAACAAACATGGCATATAAAAGGACTCCCATGCTCCAGACATCTGACTGGAATGGGCTGTACTTCTTTCCCTGTAAGACTTCAGGAGCAGTGTAAGCTACACTACCACAGAATGTCTGGCTGAAAAGATCACTGGTTGTCATTTGTCGGCTGAATCCAAAATCAGCTAACTTGACCTGACTCGTCTGGGTCAAGAGGATATTTTCTAGCTTCAAATCTCGGTGAGCGATTCCTTGTTGATGACAGTGGGAAACTGCAGCAACAATTTGTCTGAAGATTTTCTTGGACTTCTCGGAATTTAGGGAACCGTGAAGACCAACAAATTCTAATAGATCACCTTGACTAGCTAAATCCATAATCAAGTAATACTTGTCGTGTGTTTCAACAACATTATGTAAATTTACAATGTTGTCATGATGGAGACTCTTCATTACACATATTTCTCGTTCGAGGAATTTGTTTGAATTGTCCTTTCGTATAATTTTCACAGCAAGCATTAAATTATCCGAAATTCTCTCACATGAGTAGATTTTGCCACAGGCTCCTTCACCAAGGTAGGCATCGAGTCTGTATCCGTATTGTTCCAAGCTCTCAGAGCATTGGGCGCGTTCGATTGCTAGTGTTGTTTCCATTCTGTATTTTCAGCGGTCACGTAAATGTCATTATGGAGGTCAAGCCGGGCTATATACTAAAATTGTGACCAAAAGTGACCGTGTCACGTCCGTGACCCACGACCGGGTCGTGTCATGTCAGACTATGACCGTGTCAAGTCACAGTGGTCATAACCTAGATCAATTACATCACCGAGTTTAAAAGTCAATTTTTGACATGACCCGGTCATAGTTTAAAGGTCAATCATTTGTATGTGACTTTGATGATCGGGTCAAAGGTTATATAAATCTATACGAGTCAAAGTTCAAAATGTAACCTTTGACGTTACGATATGTTCAACCTTTGACCTAACTTAATCATAGTTTGAACCTTGACCTTTGGTTAGAATTTAGCCTGTAACCTTTGACCGCACTTTAAGTTTAACAGTCCTTTGAACTAACCTAATGATACGTTTGAACTTTGAACTTTGTAAAAACGAGTTGACCTTACATAACGATAAGTTTAACCTTTAACTTTATGATACGGTAAGTTTAACCTTTGACCTAATGTAACCACACGTCATAATAACTGTTACCAGATATAACGACAAGTTTGACCTTTGACCAAATTATAATAAGCTGATTTGAATACAAATGTTTTATTCATGTTTAAATTAAATTAATGTATAGATTCATAGACTTATGAATGATTTCAAATAACAATCCTTTCCACTCCAAGCCAAGGTCCATAACTCCCGCAGCCCCCTCTTGCCAGCATACATTTTTAATATCAGTGCAGTTTCCCAGCATTTTGAGGGAACATGGTGTGCTCTAATGGGTTCACTCGTTTTCTTGTCTGTAAATAACATACAATCTTTACAAGTACTAACGAAATTCTGAACTTTCTCCTTCATATCATGAAAGAAAAAATGAGACCGTAGACGCACTGAACGTAGTTTTATGCTTTCGGTGCGAATCGACCCTTGTCGATTTCCATTAAAGACTGAGCTCCAACCAAATAATTTCTAAATCGACGGAGTCCAAAATCCTGACCAAGAGCCTCCAAATCTAACTGGTTTAGCAGTGCCCAAGCTGTCACCCTGAGCTAACATAGCGCCCAGGCCGGTTAAATGTGCGTCGGTAAATACATATATAGGTTTGTTAAGATCAAAATAACGTAAAAGAACATCTTTACGAAAAGCACTTTATAGATTTCTAAAACACCTCTCGTGCTCACTTTTCCACACAAATCGAACACGGCCTTTCGTTAATTCACGCAAAGGAGCTGATCGACAGGCAAAATTAGAAATGAAGTCAGAGTTTGATTGCATCATACATAAAAAACTAACTAACTGCTCTTTGTTTGTGGGTGCTTTCAAATGTTCCAAAGCTGACACTTTAGAAGGGTCTGGTCGCACGCCATCGGCACCAATTATCATACCCCAGAAGTTGATTTCTTTTTTTCCAAATGTACACTTTGATGGATTCAAAGTTAGACCTGACCTTGAGATTGCCTGCATAACAAGTTCAAGAGCCTCGTCATGCTCCTTGCGATTTTTAGCCGCAACAATTGCCAAAACGCGGATTTAAAGTCCATTTTGGAGAAAATGGTCGAGCCTGATAACTGGGCTTCGATATCTTCTTGTCGTGGTATAGGTAGGTTTGTAGACTGAATAGCTTTATTGACGTTGTGTGCATCTAAAGTCACTCGAATTTCACCAGATGGTTTTGGTGTAATTACAGCACAAGAAATCCACGGTGCAGGTTGGTTTGAGGGATGTTCTTCTATAACATCTTGTTTGATCATTTCATCGATAGCACAGTGAACACGTTCTTTTAGGTGATCAGCTGTTTTATCTATGCTATGTATAGGAAAAAATGTTTCTGCTTTTGGACTGAAATTGATGATTCCAAGTTGTAAAGCTTTGTCGCCAGATAAAATTGGTTCACAGAAACCAGAAATAACATACCACTCAACAGGTACAGAAATAGATCCAAAAGTGACGGAACAAATAGCAGTTCCATGCACAGAGATAGGATTACTCATATA